CAGCTTGAGGCCTCACGCTGGATGATGTCGGTCATCTTGCGTCGGATGGCTCGAATCTGAGAAGAGGCAGCGTAGGTGGTCTTCTTGACCTGGTTGGGTCGTCGCTTGGTGAAAGCGATGGCGAAGAGGCGGATGAGGTAGTCGTCGGTAGTCTTGACAGTGACGTTGGCCTCAATGAGGGTCTGCCACTTTCGCACCAAGGATCGGAGCTTGTCGGAGGTGAAGTCGAGGCCGTGGAAAGCAGTCAAGCAGTTCTTGCCCTGGACTTCGTCGACACGGAGGCGGACCTTGCGGAAAGAGTGGTCCTCATCCTTCTGGAGATCGGCGAGAGAGACCTCGAGAATACGGCCCTTGAGAGCGTCGTTGGCGTTCTTGAGACCGGTGGTTCGGTTCACGAGGGTCTTGCCGACACTGCAAAATTTGTTAATCTCCCATGTCCCACAAACTTTTTTTTCTTGCAGATTCGTCGCGCGGTCGTCACTCACTCTCGAACGTTGAAGGGGTTAGGGGCCTTTAAAATCGAGTTAGCCAGGCGTTGATGTTGTGCGCGTTTCGAGATAACCAACCTTGATTGAGTACCAGTCCTTTCGGGAGAAGGGGTCGACCGTCTTCTTCTTGAGGCCCTTCTTGCCCTTGGAGAGTCTCTTGTTCCTGAAATAACGCGTAAGCCCATTGTATTCATCGCATGCTTGTCGTCGAAGGTGATGCTCACTTTCCAACCGCCATGTTTGCTGGCTTGTATGTGAACCGTTGGAGAGATGGTACTGGTGAGAGAGTGGTTGGAGGGGCGAAATAATTTCAATCTTTGTGTGCAGCAGCTTAGGTCTAAGCCGGAAAGTCGCGGTCCAATTGTTCTTCCGGCACTAAAGCTTTGTGGGATCGAAAAATAATGGATCGGAGGGCAAGAAGGACCACATCACGTGCCTTCCATTTGAAATTTCCCTGCTGAAGGGTACGTACCGTAGGTACTCGGATCTACCTTAGCCACAGCCCAGCCAGCCACAGCCACAATAGTCTCTTTTCAGGCCTGTCTGAGCTTAGGTTAGTAGTCGGGAGGCAAGAAAACAACGGACCTTGATATGGGATGTCAAAATAAATACAGTAAAAGTTATCCTAAGCTTAGGATATATCACCTAAATCTTTTTATTACTTAGGATTGAGGTCCTGAGTTTTCTTTCCTCCACTAGAGTACCTTGGCCCTCATGGACCACTCTTGTCCTACCAAGACTTTCTGCTTACGATGAATGCTGTCATTTGAGTCTGTATTCAAGGAACCGACAACCAAAGCATGTCATAGTCTACTATGCCGCTTCATCACATTTGACAACCAAGATTTATTACAACTTATGAATTATGGTATGTTTCAGGAGATGTATATAATTTTTATCTGTTTTCTTTGTGTTTCAGCAGACCTCGTCCAACTGGATCTAAGCGTCTTGCTTTCTGTCAATGAATGGGTCCTGAGATTCACCCAGACCGTCCTGTTCTGTTGTGTTGTGTTGTTGGTCCCCCTTCCACTCCACCTTTCTAAAAAGGTGCAGCTATTCCTCATTCATTCATCGTGTATAGCTCGATTTCAGCGTCCGCTTCTCTTCTACCAAGAAGCCTTTCACCTCTATCCACCCAGCCTAGTCCTAGGGCGCAATCAGCCAGCCACAACCTCGTTTATTCCAGTCTCATAATGGTAAAAAGGCCGGTGTGTTGGTCGACGATGCGTTTCTGATCCCTTGGTTCCAATGGCCTCGCTGTCACTTGCTCCTCTTTGAGCCGTCAGCGAAGGCCTCTACCATCTCGTTGAGAGTGTGGCCGTGCTGGATGAGCGACTGTTCTGTTGATGTCGCTCTGTCGTAGTCATGTTGTTTTCCCTTTTTCGGTTTGAGGCCATTTGGTTCCTCTCACCCTCTTTCCCGTCACATCTCAGTCATCAGAGTCCTTGTTCATATCCTCTTGGTTATCCCTGTTCCACTCCTCAAAGCTAGGAAAGCTGAAGTAATAACCTGGACTGGTGTTAGTATCGACTGGTACAAAGACGTCGATGTGTGTGAGACGTACCAGATGGTGAGTCGACCATCACAACGGATTGACTTCCTGGGCTGCTGGAGGGCGAGTGCTCTCGGTCATCACGGCAGATTGAGATGGGCTCGGCGTGGCGTGAGACTGAACCTGGAGTCGTGGCTTCTGATGATGGCGAGTAGACGGCAACACGGTTGAGAAGATCAGTTGCTCTTTGTGGTGAACCAGGGCCGGCGAATGAACCTCTGATGGCATTTGAAGCAGTGATTGAAGGTTCCGTTGCACTAGAGCGAAGAAGTCGTGGTCTTGTGCGGTTGGAGTTTGTGTTTGAGGATGATGATGATGACGAGTCTCGCCTGTGAGCTCTCACCGAACTTCGACTGTCTCGTATATAAGAGGCCATTGTGCGTGTATGTGTATATCAGATGTGCTGATTGTTCGAGGTTGAAAGTTGTATGTGCAGTGCATTAAAATAGGTAAGTTGGAAAGATGGTTTCACATTTGAGAAGAATAACAAGAAAGTGAAAGAGACTTTGGATGGACGGGAAGAGCTGGCAGTAGCTCGAATATGTATGTATGTAGGTACATAGAGACAAATATCAAGGCATCCACATCCACATCCACATCCACACCTACACATCAACCACCTCCTCGTGTACATGTGGTAGAGCTACCACGGCTGCGGTTAGACCAGGCGGGTAGGCTAAGTAAGGTAATAAACAAGGGTGCCATTGCATTGGGGACGTGTGCGTGCGTGTGCGCTTCGCTGCACAGCAAGTCATCATTACAGTAACAGCAAGCTTTGGAGTTGGCCGACATGGGTACCGTTCCCTCTCCAAGCCTCTCTCTGTCTCTCTCTCGGTACAGGTACCATCACGATCTTTGTACAGGTAGCCTCTCGCTACGTAGTTTTCGGCCATTCAGAGGTTAGACTCTGTGGCATCACGCAACGATGGGGTCCTCTATTCGTGTTCGAAAAAAAAAGGCCGCAGCCCAGGTACCAGACCAGGCTCATACTCTTTTTTTTCTTCCATCTGCTTGCCACTTGTCGGCTCATCGCTGCATCTGGTTGCCAACACCAACCCATCTTCCACTCGCTGGTCCTGGTGCGTGTCTCCTGGTGTATGGCCCAGAATCCTGGTCTTTGTCCCCCTGGGCCTTTTTGGCTAGGGACGCGGGCCCCGGGGACTGCAGGCGGGTTTCCCGTGCAGGCATATGCGGGGGTCTCCAAGCCTGTAAAGCCAGTGATGACTCGCCCTGCTGAGGCACTCGTCTATTCGGGCCCGGCGGAACGTGGATAGTGGAATGGGTAGACCTAGGGCACTTCTGGCGGTAAGGCAAAATTATGGGAATACCTGTCGGAGCTACTGTCGCATTGCTACCCAACAGGTCGTCAAGATGCATACCGCTTAGGAAGACGAAACGCTTGTTTGTTTGTTTTCCTTGGAATGGGATCAAACTTGAGGATTGGCATTGCATCGCAGTGAACTCTATATGTCATGTACTGCATCGATCGAAAGACAGGACGCGTTCATGACACTATTTACCAACCCTCGCTTGGATGGATACTAACGATAGAACCAAAACCCATCCGTTAGGCCAAGGCTCTCTAGCGTATCGGTCTCCTTTTTGATGGTGTATAGTCGAGAGCGTTTCTGGATGGGGGCTGGATTTTTGGATGTGGGTTGGGTTACAAGCACGCAGAATGATGGGTGTGTGATGCGATGCTATTTAGAAACGGAAAATCATTCACCATGATGAGCATTCTCTTAGACAATCATTACCTTGACCATCACCTATGGATGGCCTTGTACCTGATGAGCATGAATGAACCATGGCCAAGATCATTGATGGACATGTTAATCACCCGGGGCAATTAATCCACCCAGTTCGGCAATAAACATGGCACAACATGGAACTGCATGGCATGGCATGGCATGGCATCGGACGGCATGGCAGCATAGCATAGCATGGTGATGGATCGTTGATCGTCTTCTCGGGCCGGGGTAAGCAGCCTTCGGAGGTTTTCTTTTGATAGCAACTGAGTCAATTCAAGGCGACTGAGTTATTATCTACAGTCCCTTGCCCAGGTGCCTTGGGTATTAATCTCTTCCGCCTCGTGCACCGCATCGCATTTGACTAACCCCTTGCCCTTATCCTTGGCTCATGCTCATGCTCATGCTTGTGACCACAAGACGTGCTCTACACGTGTACATACATAGACAGAAGCGACTCCATTCTCACACATACATTCTTACATGGGTGCCTTATCATACTGTACTGTACCGTACCGGACCGTTCAGGGTTAAGGTTGTATCGGTGTTCGGTAAATGCTCCTTTAGTCGGATACGGTGTCGGAGTCAGAAAAATATGCAATTACAACTCATTAAAAACGGTCCTTGTGACTTGTGACCGCCTCACCGATTCCATTAGGGAACAATGGAACCTACGGACGGGCCTCGAAAGGTGGATATTTAATTCATTCGGTACTGTCTAGTCTATCCTGGCCCATCATCCCCTTACATACTAACGTTAGTAGGGTAGGGTAGGCTTCCATTCCGAGTTCCACTCACTCACTCAGTGTCAGTCAGTCAGTCAGTCACTCTAGTTACATCTTCAAATCTCGCAACCTCTACAGCATGCACAACCTTGCTAGCAACTCCCTCCCGGACGCGCTTAAACTCGAAAACGGATGCTCCCAACGGTCCTCTCTCACTGTATCCAACCCATCAACTGCCCTGTATGACCTGCCACCTTGACCGGGTACCTCGTTCGGGACACCCAGCCCCAACACCACGGATGAATGGTACCGTGGCATCGTCGCCATCGTATGGATTCTGAGCAATCATCATCCTTCCCCCACGCAAAACGGCTCAGACCGACCTGCAGTAACCTGCAAACTTGGGAAGCTGCTGACGCACCCCGCGACCCTCAACGCCACGTCCCTACTGTACATGCAGCTTGAGCCCGTATCTATCCGGTTTCGTTTAATGGTCAAAGCTGCCACAGTCGTCAGTCTTTGCACAACACAGTTGGATTGGAAAGTACTCACTCTTCCCATATTCGTCCCTGGACCGCCTGGAGCTCTTCGGTAGTCATGCGTTTACCAGTGGTAAAGTAGCCTTCATCTCCGTTAGTTTTCGCCTTGATTTATGAAGCTGGGGCCTCATCTCGTCTGCCGGCTCTCATTTCACACTTACCAGCTGTAATCTTGGCGTCAATTTCGACTCGCGAGTCAGCGGGTATCAGTTCTTCTGGAAGCTCGACCCTCTCATGAATAGGGATTCTGAAATCATGTTAATCTCGCATCAAAAATTAACACAACCGACTCATCATCAGCTTACCCCTGTCCAACAATCGCATCATGCTTCATGCTAGCGATATGTCAGCTGTCAATTCCTCGACGTGTTCGACTCTCAAGCGCTCACTTGCTCATGCTAAGCATCCTGTCAATCTTCTTGATGCCCAGCCAGTGCAGGATATCCGGCATGAGAGCCTGGAATCGCATGTCTTTGACACCTGCAATGTTCTCGGTCCTCTTGAAATAGTCTGATGCGCGATCGGCTCCGCGTTTACGGGCGTTGTAGACCACTACCCCAGAATTAGTACCCCAGATCTGCACGACGGCTGCTTCTCCGAAACTTGAGGGATTTCGTCCTTACAATACTGGGAAAATAGTTAGATTTGCTTGGCTGAGTTGCAATCAGGCAGCGCTTACCTTGGTGACCTCTCCCAACGCACGGCCTTCCTTTCTGAAGTAGATGACAACACCACTGCCACCATTCTGAGCCTCTTTGACCGCCTCCTCGATACCAAAGATCAAGTAAGGACGGCAAGTGCAGATATCAGATCCGAACACGTCGCTACCGTTGCACTGCAGAACACGGTGAGCTCGGGGTCTTACAGAAAGTCGGGGAATCATACCTCGTCGTGGATTCGCAGAGACAGTCGAACCGATTCATCCGACATCTTAGCTGGATCTCCGAAGCAGTACACAGTGAGACCACCAATCGGAGGAAGGAATACTTTAATGTCTCCGCGGGTGATAAGCTTGAACGTGTTAGCAGTGAGATCTCCTAGCACAGAGCTTACTTACCTCAGGGTAGCTTCCTCCTGTGTGCTCAAACAGGGAACGTCGTAGGGTGGCCTCGTCTTTGACGTGTTAGTTGTTATACAACATCAAGCAATGGCTGTGTACTTACCAATACCGAATCGCTCCGCCACACCGGGGAGGTACCAGACCTAAAGTGTGAGGTTAGACTTGCTTTGACTGCTTGTGTTGGGGACATACTGGCTCAACGGCAAACTTGGTGACAGCCAATTCACCCTGATCATTGAGGCAAACCTTGCCATCGGGTACCCTTTACAAAGGTCAGTTTGTATTCCCAAGACAACGGAAGAGCGAACTCACAGTCGACCGGCCTTGACACTCTCGGCAAGTTCAGGAAGCTGATAAGAAGATTAGTGACAGCTGTTTCATCTCTCAGTCGATCAAGATACCGACCTTCATATGAGCCTTGGTAATGGCAATGGTCGGTCGAATATCGACTAATGAAGCCGTCAGTACCACCGTTTTATCAATTGGTATCACAATCCATACCGTTGTCCTTCTCGATGGTGTCCTTGAACAGCCAAGGAGCGAGATGTCCCCAGGGGTCCATGGCAACGATCTTCTTGGGGTCTCCCCATTGAGGGAAAGGGCCAATGTTCGCAGCCGGCTCGGTGTTGGTGAAGTCGGGACTATGAATGTGCTGTTAGTTTTGAATTTCTGGGTTGGAGACAAAGGACATACCGGTGGTCGGCGTTCAGTTCGTTGCTGGCAACGGCGAGGGCATAGTAGATCGAGTACGAACCACCACTGACAAATTGTTTAGCATAGTTCCTCTCGAAATGAAGGGTGATTGATAACTCACTGGGCTAGACGACACGGTTAACGAAAGGATACATCAGTAAAGGGGGACATAACAAACCTCCAACGGCTAAACGCAAGTTACGAAAGTCAGTAACACTAACTAACACATATGCATCACAGACACAGACGGACGGACGGACGAACCATTACGACGTCGAATAGTAGAAGTAGCCCTTGAAACTACGATAGGGCCACGCTTAACGGGGTCTTGATTTCCCCAGTCCATGGGCAAAGGATTAATTCCAATCTGCTTGGGGTAAGTCCTAGTTACCTTGTGTGAGCGAACGGTGTTAGTGGAGCTTGTATACAGGAATCCTCACGTCAGAATAATACGCGATGTGAATCCTTGCTGCTGGCGCTGGTCGGGCGAGGGAAGCGCAGGAGCTTTCAATTTGTCTCCAGAGGCAGCAGGAACATCTACTGAAGGGGTTCCGCCTTCATTGTCATCTTCACGAGAACCTGGCTCAAGGATGGTGTTCTTGCCAACATCTCCACCTGATTCCTCGATTGATCTACCAGAAAGCGATTCGACCGCGTTCACTAGAAGAGCCTGCGTCCGCTGAATCTCCTGTAGAGCCTCCAGCATGCTGGATTGCTGCTGATCGTCAGATGCCATGATGATGACAGTAGACGTACGTAAACGTGGGGTTGAGTGCGGATCTATAGGGTAGACTGTGTTGCGAATGTGAGGTTGCGACGTGTGTCGCAGAGAAGTCGATATGATACAGTTTAAGAAGAGAAAGAGAAAGAGAGTTTACTTTTCAGAAAGAAAAGAAAAGAAAAACATGGAGAGTGGCCGGAACAACAGGAAGAGCGGTCGGAGAAAGCCAACCATGGTGACACATGCCTTACAACGGGGTCGTCATGAGCAGGGGGAGCTGTAGCACATCCCCAACCTTCCAAGAGCTTCAGATAGTACATAAATTGTAGATACCAAGATCCGTATCACCCTAACTGTGCTACTCTAACCTCATGTGTGACCTTCCAAGGTCAGCAGATCAACGGGAGAGGCCCCTATACAATCATAACTTTCATGTATCGGGCCGCCGTAATCGGGCTAGCTACCAAGTTAAGTGCAGTAAATGAATGAGAGAGGAGAGGGGAGCTCTCTCAACAAGGAGCAGTCATGATAGCCAGTGACTGACCTGCGTCTATCAGCATGGAATTGACAGTTCACGATTCGCTGATAAGAGACCACATGATAAGGCGGCACGTTCAAAAGTCTCAAGCCTCAATCCCCACCGGCCTAAGTCATAGCCAGGCCAGGGGAGCTACCCCGCCAAATCAGAGGGGAATCCCCCTGCGTTTAGTTGTCAGCGCCCAAACTCAAGGTGGTGAAGGTCAAGGTAACGGTGTAGAAGTTGAAGGTCAGGAGAATATGCAAGGAAGATGCTTCCGTTTTTAGTGGGATTGTCTAGGTGGTTATTGGTTGGTTTGGTTTAGTTGTTTGCTCATGTCTCTAACTGTTTTCTCGTTTACTCACTTGTCTTTGTCTGTCAGTGGTCACACTCAACACGCATCCATTGATACGGCATCATCAAACAAACGACCCTCTAAACTCACCCATGCAACCCTGATACCAATGCTCTCACAAGCTGATCCTCTTATCCTATTCTTCTAGTCTGATAAGGATCGCCTTCGCGGAATCCGGCGTTCACGTACAGAATCACGGAGGTCGCCGGGAGGCGGGGGCGGGGCAATCGGGCTTGTCTCCCCGCTTGATGCATGCCCGCACTAGAAACACGCCTGCCGTCCAACTGCCGCACTAACAGAGCCCAAACCCGCTTGTTAGAGAGTGAGCACGTGCAATGCGACAAACAGAGGTTCTCTGCTGATAAGATAAGGTAACGGACGGACCAAACGAAACATCCCTGACTGGCGCCTTGTTTCCTGCGACTGACTGCCCTGGGCTGCCTAGTCCTAGTCCGAGCCCGCCCAAGCCCAAAGCTTGACATCAGCAAATTCACTATCATCTTTTCCCCCCGTTTCGCGTTTCTTCTCGTTCCGGTCGCGCACGAATCGCGGAACTCACAGACATCATGGGCAAGCGCAAGTCCTCAAGCAAGCCCATGGGGCCCAAGAAGGTCCGTCTTCCAAGCCGATCCCTTGTCATTTTATTTTCGTATTCTCTGTCTTAGGGGGGCCTGGGGCTTTTGCGCTCACACTAATCCAGAAAGATCCCCTTCCTACCACTTTCGCATGCCTCTTCTGTAACCACGAAAACTCGGTTTCGGTCAAGCTCGACAAGAAGGCTGGTGTCGGACAACTCGACTGCCGTGTCTGCGGGCAAAAGTTCCAATGCGCGGTCAACTGTACGGCTTCCACGGACTCCCCTTTGCCTCCGGCGCATCGGGTGCTAACTTTGCGACAGATCTGTCTGCGGCGGTTGACGTTTACGGTGAATGGGTTGACGCAGCAGGTCAGTCTACAACATCCCTTCTACCAATCTGTCGACAATCTCTAACAACTTGTAGACGCCGTCGCCAAGGAGGATAACGCGGAGCCTGGCTACACTGGCACATCTCGAGCAGGAGCTGGACGAGGTAATCGAACGGCGGTCGATGAAGACGACGACGAGCACTACGGAGAGGATGACTATTAATCGTTTCTTTTATGCGCCTTGTATCAATACCAAGACTTGTTACACCCATGACTCGACGACCCCTTTCTATGCGCCTACGACTCGAGATATATAACCTTGGCGATGATTCCTTCTTCAGATGGTGTAAAATCTGTCTCCAAAGTCTCCCAGGCCGGGAATGATATAACTGTTGATTGGTCAGCACATCATGTGTCATCGGAGTTGAGCTTCCATACTTCTTCTCGTCGAGGCCCTAGAAATGTCCGGTTAGCCAATGCGTTGCGATGGTGTATGCAGGCGGTGTGACAAACCTCATCGATGAAAGCTGTCACAACCCTCAAGCGGGGGAACTTGGCAGAGAAGTTCTTGACACCCTCGGGGCTTGCAATCAAATTGAGGAACAGGATGTGCTCCTCAGGGACGCCCCTGGCCTTGAGAACCTGAACCGCCATGGTAGCAGAGCCACCTGTATATCTGCGTTAGACGCATTGCGACACGAATGACATGTGAAATGAGATATGGTCGTACCAGTAGCAAACATGGGATCCAAAAGAAGCACCCATCGGTCAGCAATATCCTCGGGCAGCTTATCGTAGAACAGCTTGGGCTGGGCCGTCTCCTCATCACGCTGGATCAAGATCTTTCCAATGCGAACAGAGCGGCAGCAGTCACGGAGACCCTGCTCCATAGCCTCGCCAGCTCTCATGATGGACACTCCGCAGATCTTGCCTTGGAACATGAGACCATTATAATTTCGGCCAACAGGTGTAGTGACAGTGTGCTCAATGACAGGCAGGTGGTTGAGACCCTCCTCAACTAGCAATCGAATGATTCGGTTGGAGTAGAAGATGAAGTCTGCTCTGTCGGTCTCCTTGCTACGAATTTTCCTGGATAATTCTCAGCTCCGGGGCATGGGAGGCCCAATTAGGGAAGTGGACATACGACAGTAGGGCAATGAGCTGAGGGGTCTGCGACAGAACGTGGACATTGTCTAGCTTGACATCGACAGAGACGGTGGCACTGGGCTTCTGCTGGTGAGCGCGGTATGAGGGACCGACAGGTGTCGTGTGAGTGTCTTGAGTCTTGTCCGCCATGTTAGCTGTTGTTTAGTGTTTGAGGTGGTGTAAGAAGTCGGCGGTGATGGCGGGGTTGAAGTAAAGCTCAGACAGATATTTCCAAGTGGGCAAGCGGAGTACGGATACAGCCTAGAAAGAGGTTGAAGAGCAAAATACAAGAGGTTTAAGTATAAGATTGAATGAATTGAAAGGCGGAGAGAAGAAGCTCGGCATCAACTAGAGCTCTCGAGGATAAGACAAGTTGGTAGCCCTGCATTGCATTGCATTGCATTGCCCGCTTGCTATGCTATGCTCAATCGTATTGGTCTCGCATATGCTTAAAACGGGGATGCAAATCGGCCGGCGGCGCCTGGACCCTACCCTACGATATTCGCAAAACCGGAGGAGACCGCACTCACTCTAGTCACTGCAAGGCAGTGGCATGGGCATGGATTCATGATAGCGACAGTGGAGATGAAAATGGATATCCAATGGTATAGAGAATGGGATCGGATGAGAACAATGGAGGTGGCGCTTTGGAAGTCATTTAACAAAAAGCACTCTATGCAATTAATTGATTCAATTGTTCTTTGTTACTGATATTCTTCTATTGAACGATGTGCTTCTGTTTTTAGCTCTCGCTCTCTATTGACAGCCGAAATGTGACCCAAGCTTTTGTGCTAAACACCGGCACTGCAGCCGTAGTCTATCTAGCCTTTCAACGTTTCATTGATCAATACACCCTGACAGTGATTCAATGTGAAGATCTTCAGTTTTATTATTCATCTATTGTGCTCGCTTTCCTTTTATCATCCTTTCCTTTGCAACTGCGTCTGTGACAACGTGCGCCGCGTTCTTTATCCCTTTATTTGCCGGCGTGTTGAAACAACCTGCCACTAACGGGTGCGACTTACCTCCACAACCATCTGTATCTTCGTCTTAGCTCATCCCTTCAACTTCCAACGACCTCATTATATGATATAAACCCACCACTTCAACCGCCGCGTTCTGCTCATAGAACTTGAGGACACTATGGCGTCACGAAACAGCTCGACAGCGTCGGTCCCGCGCAAGGTGATGACGTATGGCAAACCTGTGCGCAAGCGCTTCATGCGCGACGCGATGCCATTCAAACCCACCGAATCGTTCACTGCACCGAGCAGCCGCCCTGACTCTGCCGCCTCCGTCGCGAAGCCGTCAAAACCTTCACTGCCGAGATCGACATCGGAGCCAACTCCAAAGCACGTCGTTGAGAAGCGACCCGATGAACCCGCTCGCGCGAAAGCCGGAGACGATCAGAAGCCAAAACCACGCGATGCGACGGACACGAGAAAAAGAAAGCGCCTAGACGCTGTGCCTTCTGAACCAATTGAAGAAGAAACAAAATCTACTTCTCCAAAACAGATGAAGCCTGCGAATACACTGCCAAAGCGACCTGTAGCTGGAGCCTCTGAAAATGAGACCAAAGCCAGCGCCCCTCTTCCACGACCAGCAGTTTCAAAGAAGAGTCCAAAAAGTTCGAACGTTCGATCTAGACCCCTCCCTCGAAGCAAATCCGATGTCCCAACCTCAAAACTCAATTCAAGTGCGGCGCAATCAACGGCTAAGGACTACGATGACGAATCACCGAGACCGAAGAAACAACGATCGCGATTGATTGACAGGTTGGCGGCTCAGCGGGCAGAAAGTTCAGAGTCGGAAGACTCGGCTTCTGAAGAAGAGAAGCCCAAATCACAATTGCCCCCGAATAGCGGGACAGATAGTGGAGGTGCGACTCCCTCTCAGCAGTCACAAAACAACTCCCAGAACCATTCTCAAGACTCTACGATACGACCCAGAAATCGCACTACGGTTGCACTCAAAAGCCGAAGAGTCAAGTATACATATGGTCAATCTCGATCTATCCTAACCGAGTCCTCCTCGAAGCTCAGTGAGCCCAGCCAGGAAAAGCCCATGACTGTGGAAGAAGAGTTGGATGCG